AAATAATAAATAGCATAGCTAATTGTAAGATAAATTAATTGTAAGATAAATTAATAAGTAATAAAGAATAAAGAGGTGGTCATAGGTCATTATCTATTTTATACTTAAGGTACGAGAGGGAGAGAGTGAGTTTCAGAGAGGAGGGTAAATGATTCCATTGGTTGATTACAGAGGGATAAAATGAATTTTGGTAGGTAGAAGTTTTACAGGTGATTGGAGATAAATTGCCTTTGTTGTTAGATCTTAAGTGGTAATTTGAGGGAACTTTAGCTAGAAGAGGGTGAGATGGAGTGAAATAGAGGCCTTCCTTGACTTTAAATAGAAGTATCATTTTAAATTTAAACCGGCGATGTGATAGTGAATGAATGTTAGACTGTAGAAGTAGTTGTTGATATGGGACTGTCCAGGATTTGAGAGCCAGTTTTAGGCCAAAGTGCTGAACGGCCTCAAGTCTTGATGACATTGAAGGAGAGAGAGGGTCCCAAATTGGGGAGGCATACTCGAGAATGGGACGAACAAGAGTAACATAAAGGTGGATAAGGGTCTCAGGAGATGAATGTTTGTAAAAGTTACGATAAATGAGACCTAGGATCTTTCGTGCCTTCTTGATTATCGATATTATGTGATCTTTCCAGGACAGGTTACTGGTGAATATTAAGCCAAGGTATTTGTAGGAGTGTACACGATCAATTGGTATTTGCTTAAGGCAAAGAGGGGGCAGAGTGTTGAAATTTGAGTGATGAGAAAGTGAAAAGATCATATATTTAGATTTACTAGTATTTAGGGAGAGAGAGTTAGACTGCATCCACGAACTAATAGAATCTATTTCAGATTGGAGAGAGGACCAGTCGTTTGAGTTTGCAAGAGGGTGAAGTAAAAGAATGTCGTCTGCAAAAAGAAACATTTTGGAGTGAGAAGAGATGTTCATATCATTCAGGTCATTAATGTATAATAGGAAAAGAAGAGGTCCAAGTATTGAACCCTGTGGAACGCCAGAGGTTACTTGTACTGGGGAGGAGATGGAGTCACCAACGCGAACACTCTGTTGTCTATTACTGAGATAGGAGGAAAACCAAGAGTGAAGTGGATATGGGAGGTTAAGTGCCAAAAGTTTGTTTAGTAATGTCTGATGGTTGACAGAATCAAAAGCTTTTTTGACATCTAGAAATAAGCCGCATACAGGCACGGAGCAGTCCAATGAGGATAAAATAAATTGAGTTACAGTGGCGAGTGCAGTAGTTGTAGAACGCTCAGGGAGGAAACCAAATTGTGAGTCTGAAATTAGTCCTTTTGAAAGTAGATGGTCGAGGAGAATGAGATGCACATGCTTCTCAAGAAGCTTTGAAACCAGAGAGAGGAGAGAGATAGGGCGATAATTAGATGGTGATGATGAAGGAGGACTGGTCTTGGGAATGGGTACCACCAGAGATCTTTTCCAGTCCTCTGGGAAGATCCCCTGAGATAATGAGAGATTGAATATATGCTGCAAGGGAGATACAATGTAGGTTGCTGTTGCTTTTAACAGGAAGGAGGGGATGTCGTCAGGGCCACTGGAGGTGTTTAAGGGCAGATCTGAAATTAGACGTAAAATTGATTCTTGGGAACACAGGAGGTCAGTGGAATTACCTAAAGAAATAGAGTTAGGGAAAGGGGGAGAGTAGATAGAGTTAGAGGGGGGTGAGAGAGGAGGGGCAGGAAAATGAGAGGAGGTGGAAGGGGGAGAGGGATGGGTAGGGGAAGAAATGGAGTTAAGAGAAGTTATGGCTGGAGTGAAAAAACTTGAGAAGGTGGAATTGAGTAGATTAGCCTTGTCAGTATTTGATGTAGCAGAGTGTTGAGCATCTAAGGTTAGTGGGGGAATTGGGTCTTTATTCTTTCTTAGGGAACGTACAAAGGACCAGAATTGCCTTGGAGATTTAGAGATAGAGTTAAAATAAAGGGCCTTATTAGACCTAATGTCAGAGGAGATACTGTTACACAGGGACCTATACTGTAGCCACAGTTGCGGAGAATTGGAAGATGAGGCCAGATAAAAGAGACGACGACGCTGCCTTATTTTCTGGAGAAGGGGACGAGGGAGCCATGGAGGGTATGCGTGGTTACGTTTTATTTTAGATGGAGTAAACTGATGAACTATCTTCATAAAGCTGTGAATGAATGAGGACCAGGATTGGTTGACATCATTGGATAATATCTGATCCCATTGGATTTCATCTAGGCATGCATTAATAGAGTTTATGTCAGCCTTGTGATATAGCCAGATCTTCTTGCGTGATTGGGGGGGAGAGGATAGGGCATAAGCTTGAAAGGGTGAAAGTCTCGTGACGATCGATGAGTGATCCGAATTACCTATGGGAGGAAGAACATAAGTGAAAGCCTTAATTCTGGATGACGATAAAACCAGGTCTATGGTAGAGGGGGATCCTGAATGGGAGAAGTGAGTTGGAGAGGACACAAGTTGTTTAAGGTGAAGTAGATCAATTAGAGACTGAAGTTGATTGGAAAGTGGAGATGGTGAAGGTGCACATACATTGATGTTAAAATCGCCAACCAAAATTAGCTTTGATGAAAAGGAAGGTCCTAATGGTGATAATGTGTTAATTACTTCTTGGATCATTATAATTTAACACTAATAACTATTAATACTAATACTAGTCTACAAATAATGCTACTAACACTAG